ATTTTTTGTAAACATAATATCGTTTGTATGAAGCAGTATTCATTATAGTTGGATATGTTTGTCATTTGTCTAGATCGTTTCAGAATCAAGATATTGAATTCGATGAATGTAACACAATGTCCATAATGTTGGAAAAAAATAAAAGCAAAACTTAACTGAATAAAATGAAAAAAAAAGTATCATTAATAACCACTCCCTTTGTCATGGCGTTAATACAATATTATATATAAACTTTGTTTTTGTTATTTTATAAATTTTTATTTTGCTGCTTTTCAGTTTATTTTTTCCTTTTCATTTAGTTTGTTTTATTCAAACACGAAATCATGGCATCATCATCATTAAAACAAGCAGCAAACTATAATATTTAAAAAAAAATAATGAAATAAAATAAAAATAAAACATCGAATAAAACTGAGCCTAATGGCAATTTAATCGTTCTTCCATGTTTGTGAAACATATTTAATCGCTTTGGGTATAAAAATATTACCCCGCATGTGACTACTACTTGATTATTTAGAAATTTCTGAAATATCAAAACCTAAAAACTTCAAGGTTGTATTATTTACTTTTGTTTTATTTTATTTTTTTATACTCATTATTATTATGAAAAATAATATATAATGATGAATATTATGTATATTAAAAAAACGTAGGTACATTATTATTTATTTTTTTTATATACCTTTGATATTATTTTCCTAATATAAATTACATATTTACATGTACATACTTTGTACATTTGTATCAGAACTACGTATCTAAATTGCATCAAACTTCACACACTAGTCCAAAGATCTAATATAAAGAAAAAAAACAACTTAACGAAAAAACAGAGTATAATTTCATCTATTAGTTAATAGTTTTATTTCATTTTTTTAGTATTTTTCTACATATATGTATATATGTATGTACATACAGGCTTTTTATTCTAAGCTATTATTTTGCCTTGTTCAATAATAAAGTAGAAATAAAATATAATGAAATAAAATACATAATGTAATTATAATGAAATAAATGTAATAAATATAATTGCGCAAATGTACATACATTAAAATATCAACTTCAAATGTTAGTACAGTAGGAACAGAAAATGTACAAATTCTTTAGAGAAATCCTAATAAATTTAAATTTTAACTAAACTCTTATATTGTGTTTAAAGAACTACAAAATTTTGTTGATAAAGTTAATAAAAATAATAAAAATATAAAAAAAAATATCATCAAAAATAAAAAGAAATGCCAAACAATTTTCAGTTAAGATTCAATTTCACCTACTATATGTACTCGTATAATAAAATTAATTCAGGAAATAAAACTAATTTTAGAAATTCGATATACGATTTAATTTTTTAATTTGAATGTGCTTTGTAAGTTATATTTCATATATTAATTATATATTAGCTATATATATAATTGCTATATTGCAATTATAAAATTGACGTTTTTGCTTTTTTCTAAGTTTTGTGAATTACAAATTCAGTATATTCAAATTTATTTTTAATTTCAAAATATTCATACATTTATTCATAAATATTTCGATAAAAATTTATTTGGATGATAAAGTCTACATATAGTCCAGAAGGGAAGTTTTTTTTTTTTAGATATAGAAAGTATATTCAATTATTATAGAATATGTTATTTAATATGAAATTTGTGGCAATTTACCCTGTTCTCACATCGCTTTAATACCAAAAAGCATCGAACTTTTAGTAAAACTACCTGGCTAATCCTTTTTAACATATAAAAAAAAAATAAATATAGTTCAAAATTTAATTTATTTTTATACTCTGTGTACACCACGAATCACCTTCATTTAAGAATATGCACATTACTACATACATACGTACGTCACATGACGTGTGTGTATACAAAACTTAATGTGAAAAAGACTTTTCCGACATATTATACTTTTTTTCCTTTTAGTGTTTATGAAGACTTATTTTTTGTTTTGTTCGCTTATGTTGGTATATATGTATGTATATGCAATGCTTAAGAAAGTAATTTGAAAATTATAATCAATCATTCAGTCAGGGAAACAAGGTTTATAGAAAAGTATTTTCTCCTCCCAATAAAACATGTTCATTATTATTACACTTTTTTTTACTTTCAAATCAGTTTTCCTTTTATTTTTCTGTTTTCTCTATGTTGTTGATTGTAAGTGTCCACAAAAAAGAGAATGTATCTATAGAATTTTGCCCATAACAGAATATACACCTGGAGGCTTCTAAATTTATCTTAAGTTCAAATTATGACGAAGATTAAATATGGCGTCAGCAAACTGACAGATTTAAATTTTTTTCTATATTTTTTTGTGTACTTTTTTTTTAAATTTTTCTCTGCAAATTTTACACATTTGTTTCTTTTTTTTATGTAAGATTTTATTCGTTTGAAATGTTAAATATATTATATATTTCTTTATATATTATACTTAAGTATATAAATAGTACTATGCGTTTAAAAACATCAGTGTTTTTGTACTTTAACGTTATGTGCAAGGTTATTAAAAATCAATTTACGGATTTTACTATGTTTTTTGAGCCAATTGAAGTTAATGTTGTAAAATCATAAAAAAAAATAATAATTTTTTTTAAAGTAATATAAAATTGAAAAAAAAAATATGAAAAAAAATGGGAAATAATTTTGTATTAATTTCATCGTTCTTTTTATACAAATTTACAAAATTTTTCTTAGTTATTCCGTTTTTAGTATTGTAACACTTAATGACTGTGGTGAGTATTGAGTACTTAATTTTCTTTTTGAAGAAATTCATTTATTTTATATCGGCCTTCTAAATTCGCTTTCACGTTTTTGTACTCTAAAATAAAATAAATTCTATTTACGAAGGACAATAATAATAATATCCTTAACAATAATGTAAAAAAATTAAAAATATTAACAATACATATTTCTTTTAATACAAAATTTTTCGAAAAAAAACTAGACACTCTTGTAATCTGACCTTTATCAATTAATTAAAAAGTCAACTCTTCAGAAGTATTTAATGTGAATGCACGGCAAAACTGCAATGCTAGGAACTGTTGTAAAAATTTAACATTTGATCTTTTAATAAAAACTTTTTTAGGTCTACCGTATTAATTTTTTTGGCAAAAAGAAAACAAATATGCACAGTATGAGTGCAATTTGTATATTTGCGTCAACCTCAAAAATCATTTTAGTATCATTTTTATCTATTAGCACTTTGATTGACCTTATGAATAGGATTTTGCTTCTGTGTTTTACTTTTTAATTTATCTATGTTCACAATAAAAGCAATTATAATTTCCTTTACAAGATTTTTAGACATTTGCATCAGCGTATAAACATATTTAATATTATATAAATATCTGTAGTGTATGTATGTAAAGTAAAATTAAAAAAAGTCAAAAAAACATTCTTTTTTTGGGTCTAAGCAATTACGTTGATTTTAATAACCGCAATTATTTTGTTTTCTCCGTTACAATTTTCTTTTTTGTTCAATTTTCTTGTTTCTTTTTTTTTTAATTTTATGTTTTTCCTTAATATTTTTCTTTATGTATTTTCTTTTTTTGTTAATTTTTTTTTTGTAATAACTATCAAAAATATTTTTTAATGATCATTTTGGTTACTTATGAACTATAGATCTATTTATGGATGTTGTTTATGTTAAGATATGTGCATGCGTAAGATTTTAATAATTTCTAAAACATGGCTTTCAACATATTTTATATACATATGTAAGTGTATATATGAACATTTGTATTGTAACATGTAGGTATTGTAACCTAGCGAAGTATAACAGCAAATCATTAATGCTATGAAAAATACTAACGCTTTCTATTTAATAGACATAATTTAAGAATTATTACTTAAGTATGAATAGTTTATATTTTTCTTATTGTAAAATCTTACAAAAAAACAAATTACGCGTGTTTTCAACTATAAATATTTTTCTTAATTTGACTTTGGTTAATTTAAATTTAAAAATGTTATAATAACTCTTGAAAACACCAAAATTACTTTTGTTCCTAAAGTTAAATTTTAAAATTAACAGAAATTACCCTATTTTTGTTTTTAATTTTCATTATTTTAATGTATTTGGTTCAATCGAATAATTTTATGAACAATTAATTTCAAATTGTTTAAAACTAGACCACTTGTAATGATTTATACAGCTGAGAATTTGCGAATATGGATGAAAGAGTTTCTCGTGTATCAATCTTCCTTTATCAGAATGTCGGAGTTTTCCTCATATCTTCTAGCTCAAAATCATGTTCCCGAATTCCTTAATTTGTTATGTATTAATTTCATTCAAATTCTAATACGTGCAGAAAGAAAATGTAAAGTATTACTTTACTTATTTATTTTTAAGAGTGATATTGTTATACAACTCATATACATTTTTTCTAGTTGTTTAATTATTGATATGCATAGTAATTTACTTTAAAACTTAACTTTTCGGTCAATTTCTTGTTAAGTAAATGGAAGGACGTTGTTAATTTAACCTTCTTCTTTTAAATGGACCAATATCTTTACCAATTTTCAAAGTAATATTTCTGTTGCACGGCAATTCGTAGAAGCCCGAAATTTAGATAATTTATACGAAATATCAAATTATTTTGAAAATAGTATGTTGAAAATAATATAATTAGTTTAATCCACATTTTATTCACCGCCTTCATAAAAAGTAAAGATTTAAATGTTGCTCTCCTATTTTGGTCACAGATCTTAAAGGTTTTGAATAACTAGATTTTTATTAAAACATTTTCCATTTAAATATTATAAAATTTTTGTAAATTAAATGAACTTGTAATAAAAGTGACTGCAACATCTATTAAAATTAAACTTTAATTTTTTTTACAAAGTTATTTATCAATATCGATATGTAAATTTTACGATTAAAATTCTATGATCGTTAAAATTAAATAAATATTGAGCTAAATTTTAGTTATTGTATTCTACTATTCAAAAAATTCTTTCAATACTTATGCATATTCTAATTGTTTTTTGTTTTTGAATTTTCAGAAAGAAAACGTGGTCGTCAAACATATACAAGATATCAGACATTGGAATTGGAAAAAGAATTTCATTTCAATCGCTATTTAACAAGACGTAGGCGTATTGAAATTGCTCATGCTTTATGTTTAACCGAAAGGCAAATAAAAATTTGGTTCCAAAATCGTAGAATGAAATGGAAAAAAGAAAATAAAACCAAAGGTGAACCAGGATCAGGCGACAATGCCGATGAAATGACACCACCACAAAGTCCTCAATAGACGCAAAATTAAATTTAAAAATTTAAAAAATAATAAAAAAGGAAACGCGAATCCAATTAAAAACAAAAAATAAAATAATTTAATAAAAAGGAAACAATTTTAATTTTAAGTAGTCAATATTTAAAAACAAAAAAAAGCGAGAAAAAAATTGTTTTTTTTTTTCCTATTTCGTTCTATATTTTTGTTTAGTTCTTTAATTAAAATAAATTAAAATTAAACTCTAATAATGAAACAATTTTTGTGTAATAAGAATCTCAAATAAAAACAATAAAAATTAAAATTATAATTAATTTTTTACTGTATTATTCTGAAATACGTAATAGTTTTTAGTTAATCAATAATGTAAATTTAAAATATATACTATTTGTAAAGTTTATTTATTTAGCTTTAACATATATTATATTTAAATAAGTATCAATTAAAAAAAAAACAACAAAAAATAGGGAGAAATAAAATACATATATATAACCAAATATTAATTCGTACGATTTAAAATTAAAGTATAAAAAAAATAAAACAAAAACATTATTACATTTATTTTAAAGTTGAATATATTTTATTTATATACATATTATAATAATATGCTTCCGTCATCCGTTAAAAATTCAATTAAAGTCATAATCAAAAATCAGAAAATTTAATAAAATAATTCATTTGCATTAAAATATACGAACCCTGTATGAAATTGTTCTAGTTTATATCTGATATACATATATTGTCATAATTATTAAAATTTTATTTTGGATTTCTCAAATTGAAAATACATAAGTTGTTTGTTTTACCAGGAAAATTTAATTTTCCAGTTTTAAAATCATTTTCATTACAATCTTGGATTCAATATTTTTTAAAAACGATTTTGTAGAGTCCAATAATTTTGAAATAGATGTTCCAAAATTTTCATTTTTTTAATAATTATAATTTTACTTATAATTATAATTTGTGTTCTAAGGAATATTACTAATATTCCTTTTTGCTACACTATTGTTATAATTCAGATTTGCTCAACATTTCCATTTAATTGAAAAGACATTAACTTTAGAATGATATAATTAATACATTGAATATTTGAATCCTACAAGACTTCCGAATTTTTTTGCGGAACGAACTTTATCGACAAAGAATAATTTTTCAAAATTTTAAAATTACAAATATTTCTGGTTTGTTTCATTTGTTAACCAAAATGTTGTCTAAAGTTTTGATTATTTTAAAACTTCGAATATAATAATGTGAGTTTGCACGTCAAAGCACTATTAATATAATTTGGAATATACACCAAAGATTGTAATGAAAATATTCTCCATAAGTTTATTAATAATTAATCATAATACTAAATTTTGGATCTAAATTACCATTAAATAAAGTTCTTTGATTTGTTATAAAGGGTTTTTAAAAATATTTTAACGAAACTTTTTTGTACACAGAGTATGTAGATTTTTTATGCTTTATGTAAATAAGAAAAAAAAATACCAAAGAAATCGTTTATTATACAAAGTAAAAAATAATTTTTATGGCAGGGTTGTATAAAATATAGAATGCTAATATAATCTTCTATTGAAATAACCATTAAGGTGTTGGAATATATGCGATAGTTGCATGTATTGTAGTTCAATTTAATATTATGTTAGAATTCGAGGCAAAAAATAATTATAATTTTAATTTATATAGAACTTTTATTATATATGTGTTTTTGCTACAAATCAAAGAAAAACAAAACCAACTCATGTGACCTCAATATATAGTAAAAATTGTATTAATAAACAAAAAAATTAGATTTAAAATTCTATACGTAATTTTAATGTTAAGTGTTTCAAAAAAAAAAAAAACCAAAAAAAAAAACAAAAAATATTAATAATAAAATAATTATGCGTCATATTGTAACTAAATAACGATATATAGAAAAATAATAATGATAATAGCAATGATAACAATGATAGTTTTTGCAATAAAATTAATAATGAGAATTGTATAATAAATATTTGTAATTATGAAGATAACAATTATTATAATAACAATAGCAATAATAGTCATGTGAATAAAGATATTCATAAAAATAATAATAATTATAATAATAATAATAATAATAATAATAATAATAATAATAATAATAATAATAATAATGATAGTAACAATAATAATGCTCTGGTTACAAATTAAAAAAAATTAACGATAATTTTCAAAACTGTAGAACAAATGGAAGACGCAAATATTTAAATGAATGTCATAGTAGAAAATTTAACAAATTTTCCTCCTCGAACTAAACTTGTCTTCAAAAAAGGCACTTTTTCAGTTTAGAAGTAAAATTCTACTTTAGAATGAATTTAATGTCTACGTTATCCATATTGTTGCTATTTCTGTGAAATAAATGTTAATATTCCGTACTTAAGGTACACTCTAGCAATAAAAAAGTAATAAAAAATACATTCAAATGTTAATACAGATAACTGAAACCAAAATTGGGATACAATCATTGAATATAAAATAGTTTTATTAGATGGTTTTTTCACATAATTATTATTGTTATCATTACGATTATTCGTTATTAATTCATATAAAATGCAATATTTGTAATTAATAAATTATGATGAAATTTCATTTGATTTTGATAAATAATATATATCAAATATTAATAGAACTATATATTATGTATATATTTATATTTATACTTATGGATATATTTATGTATGTATATATATAATATAATGTTATAGAATATAAGAATAATTTATTTAATAAAAGGCCAGTGATACGAAAATAAAAATGAAAATATGGAAGAAAAGTTGGAATTATGAAAAAAAAAAATGTATACGATTTTTGAAATGAATGTATAAATAAAACTAATTTTCCATTAATATAAAAGTGCAATGAAGAGTATGGAACAATATAGAAATTATTTTCCAGCTCCTTATTTTTTCGTATATTATGGATTATAAATTATTTACCAAAATAAAACTACCAATAAGACAATGATTAAAATAAGATTTATATAGTATATAAAAAATATTATTGTATAAACGGACTTACACTTCAGAAACTTGTCAAAATTCGTATACGTATCTCTAAAAAATAAATCAAAATCATTCTAGAAAATCATAAATCAACATATAATTTTATAGAGCTTCGCCTACCAATTTTATAAATTAAATTTAAATAAATTTACCATTAATTTTGAATTTTTGAACTATATTTTTCAAACACTTTTCTGATACATACCTATAAATTATTAAAAGTCTTTATTTGTTGCCAACTTTAATTAAAATATATAAAAATCATTCTACATATATAAAAAGCTAATATGTAAGTTCTAATATTGTTTATATGTATTTGGGAACTCAATATTTTTTTTTTTTCAAATTAAAAAAATATGATTTTCAGAAGATGAAGAGCAACATTGTATAAACTTTTCTGTCTTTACGGCAAACACAAGTTTTCCAAAACTGCATATAAACGGTTATATCGCGAATATGTTGAACTTTTGCCATAATTGAAAATGTTTGAAGCATACTTGAACTTCATAATTTGAAAAACTTGAAATGATTTCGTTTTTGCTACAAAGGAGAAAAAAATTCGGGACAAAGCGTGTACGCTTTTAAAGCTCTTATTATTAAAAATAATAGGAAATCGCTTATAACTTATCAGAAAAAAGGAACCATCTTTCTTATCAAACTTTTCGAGCTTTCTTTAGCCTGTACAGGGTATTCAGATTTTTCATGTTAAACAATATATGTACCATTAAACCTACATATCTAATTCAAAAAAAATATAAATTACAGTTCTTTTCATATTTACACTATTTTGTCAACATTGAAATCACAATAAAATTTTTATGTGGCCACATGCTGGAACAATCATTTCTTTTTTTAAAATTATTAAAACAAAATTGAATTTTAATGGAACTATGTAATTAGTTTATAAAAAGAATAATATGAATGTATTTAGGAACCTATTATACGACTGTACTACCTTAAATATGCATATACAGAAAAACTTAAGGTCCGATACGTTAGCTTTTACACAGATATTAACAATATTTCATAAAATATTCTATTACAATAGATCTAACAAGCTCTATTTAAACCTAAATTCAAAATAGATTTTCTCCATACCTTTGTGAATCTAGGTAACCAAATGCCTGCCATTGAGTGGATTTCTTTTATTTTAAAATCAATAACTCGCATGTTTTCACATTTGTAAAGCCATGTTTGTGAATTGTGATTGCGGAATCATGAAGAAAAACCCTATCTTAAAGGACATTATTACTTGCTCTTCCTTCAGTTACCACTACACGACAAAAATTAGCTAAAAAAATTTATTAAAAACTTATTTAAAAATGTGAATTAAGATTGTTATTAAAAAAATCAGCATCGGTTTAATTTTAAATATTTAAAAATCATATAGAAATAGAAACGCCTATACAACAATCTTTAGAGTAATTTGTAAATTTTTGTGAAATCAAGTTCTTCCAACAATCAATACCTCTATATTATATTTGAAGACATGGTATTTGATTATCCTAACATAAATATAGGAATTCTGTTGTTAAAATAATATAAACGAATCCTGTACTTCCTTCAGTTATTTTCTTCAATGTAAGAGTTTCGTAGTATGCAAGAACGTTTTTTTGCAAAATTCATGAATTTTTACTGATGAACTATGTCGAATTTTATATAGATTTGACTATATATATCTGATTGTCTGTTTAAGTGACTACTCAAAAATTATTTGATCTAGACCAACCAAAGTTTCATTTGTTTTATTTTTGTTTTTATGTCGACATTTCTGATGTTCTGAAAAAATTATGATAAGATAATAAGGAGATTTTCGATAATTCAGATATGCACTTAAAGTTCTAACTAAAATCCTAAAAATCTTTTTTTTTGCATCATTACAGATCTACCAGAACTAAATAGTTTGCTTTGTAGATTTTTAGTATCTTATATTTTTTTATGTGATTTTTATTCTCAAACATATTTCTAATCTTATTCACTTTTTTCTAATTTATTTCTCCATTCACTTACTTCTATTGTGCATTTAAACATCGACTTTTGTATCATGTTTACGTATCTTGTCAATTAATATAAATTGAGGCGAAAGTGACTAGAAAGCCAATGTTTTTTAATATTTGTTTTACACAAGGAAAAATTGCGTAGTGTAACGAGCTCTTTTCTCACAAAATGAATGGAAAACGAGATACATAATTAGGCTAAAAATTTTTCTACAAAATTCACCACATTTTTAATTTTTCT